CGGGCTAACGATAAAGTCTCTGAATAGACACTGTATTTTAAATTTCATGAATGTTTTGCAAACGTCTGGAATAAATCCTCGTTGGTTTACCGATGAATATCCATACAAAAAACTACTCATTCTAACAATAAAAACGAGTTTCCACATAAAATCCATAGTTCCATTACAGAGCTTGTTCCAGAACATCAACTTTTTACTTTCGATTTCCTTTGCTATATCGTATATGCCTAGACATTGAGTTGTAACGGCAGTCGATGAACGTTTTGATTAATGGCAGTATTAATTGACTATGAACGTATATGTTGAGATATTGAGATGTGCTATGATTCGTGAAATATGGTATTCAATATTGATTTTTGACAGATAACTAGTTTACAGGCCTTGTTTTGGAGTGTATGTCAAATTTCGGGGCCCTTCAGAAGTTCAGTTACTTTTCATGCCATTTTACTGTCATCCTAATTGGCTTTTGCTAAGTATTTCAGAATACAAAATTATCAACTTCACCTTAATCAGCATCCATTGCTTGACACAACTTTCTTTCGTTTTGTTTATTTCGGTACTTAAACCTGTTTCATTTAGGTTTTTATTCTTCATATTCCCGTAAATTTTCATAACACAAATATACATGTTTTCAAGTAGAATTATAAGTATTCACTGTAATTCATGAGAATGATGTACTAGATGAGAGGGGTTATATGGGTAAATTTCTTGCGGAGACGAGGGTGTGCTGAAAATCTTGTATATATGTGTATGCTGTTTTACGTAACTTTTTAAAATATGGCAGCTTACAAGTTAAATGTTTACATAACTGACAATAATAAGGAATTATCTTTTGATTATGAATAAATAAACAGACATTGTTGTATTGTTCAGCAACAATTTTACTTAAAACTTATTCAGACTATCTCTCGATTGTAATAATTGATGAATTAAACTGGCTCAGAAGAAGCTATACTTTCCTTAAAGGCATAAAGACTATTCAATTGCCTGCTAAGAATACAATTTGATTATACATATATCTTTGTTTAAATTTCTCTCTGTTTTTTGAAAATGAACACAAGTGATTTATATATAACTTACAATTTGATTGAAAATTAGTCACTATTTACTTTTGTTCGCATTCATTAACAAAATATTATATATTTGACTGTTTTATCGCGTACCTCAACATTTTACCATTTATTCATATGTGTTTGTAAGCTAGGAATTATCACGATACAATGAGACAGTCTGACACTTGGTAACAATGTTAAATAAATTAACGGCAATTACTGTCTGTACTATAAAGTGTCACTGGCAGCTGTCCATGTATACACAAGGCAGTCCCTATAAACAAGCACCTGTGACTGCATATCTCTGAGTGACAACATTTTTGATTTCCTTGTCCGACAGTTTGTTTTGACAGGATTTAAAAACATTTCCTCCAGAAATTTAACTGTATTAAGTATGATTTATTATTTGGATCTATTAAATTGTATTTAATTTTTAAACAGTCGTACTCATGATGTTATTAAACATGTTTACCCATGTAATATTTTATGATATTCACTTAAATGAGTTTGTAATTGCACATCAATTAAAGTCATAACAAATTGCAACATATGCGACACTGTAAATTATTTATGATATAACAACACATTATTAAGTATTTCAGCTAACTGCTATTAAAGAAAAAACTATTCAACTTGTGATTGTAAGAAACTCGCACAGACACACACACACACAAATATACAGCACTTGTTGTTTATGTTGTCCTGTCAACAATAATAAATAATCCTTATTATCGAATACCTTTCTACAATGTAATTTAACTCCTTCTTCCATGTTGTTTTATATTTCTTGATAAACTGGAATTTAAAACATAAATTTCAGAATTCTAAATTTCAGCTTCTGTTAAGATTTAATTATGTACTAAATTTTCTGATTGATACCAAATATGGTAGTGTTCCAAATTAGTTCATGATATCATTCCTAAGAATTGGGGTATAAAATCCTCCAACTTGAAGTGTTAAAAAAATAATAAGTATGTATCAAATAAGATGTTTTTCTTGTACACATTTACTGCAAACAGAGCTGAAATTACCTAGGTCAACAATTTTGTTGATTTTTTTTTTCAGAATTTATAACCAAAAAATCTGAATTCAAAAATACACATGAATAATTAAACTATATCACTAATATATTTGTTAAATTATAGATATTTTGTGACTGTCACATTTTACAAGTTAAATAATATTAACACAGAAGTATTCTCACATTAATGTAACAAAAATACCATAGGTGATTTCATATTTCATATAAAAAATATATTCTGTGTGTTTTTTTCACTTACCTGGTAAGTGCAAAAGATTTATTTGCATTATGTGGGTTTTTTTCACTTAAAGATGTATTCTTTGGTTTGGATCACATTCATGTCTTGTTTCGATCTGGCGTAACCAGTTTTTGTAATATTTTACAAATTATGATCCAGTTTAATAGCAAACAGGCGTCTAAAAAAATGTTAAAAAATAGAAGCCTGTTGTTTGCAGAACCTTTTTTACAAGAATTAAAAAAAAAATGACCACTTTGGCGGTGATTTTGAAAATGTGTATTAATGTGTATTTCTTGCTCTTCACAAAAAGCCAAAATTTCACCTTTTTTAACACTAGATTGATCACTTAAATTGTCGTCATTGTCGCAGGTTCAGTTTTGCTGTACAACTTTGTAATGTTCAATATGATAAAAATAATATGCAAGAAAGTGGAATATTATACACTATTGGTATTTTTTTTACATATTTAGTGGAACTAAAGCACTTTTGATATTTGACCCCGAAAAAGGTGAAAAACAACACAAATAATAATGGGACCAAAAAAAAAGCACACAGACCCCACATTTTTGTGGCTGTTTTAGAAAGAGTAACACATTTTCTTTTGATTCGTTAAATATTTAAAAAAGTTTAATAGCAGAACTTTTTATATCAAGCATTTAATCTGCAAAAAATGGCGAAAAAAATGAGCATTTTTCCATTAAAAAATAAGGGGTATGGTTAACTTTTTTTAGTTAAAAGGATCAGATCAAGAAATTTTACTTCAATAATTTAAAAGAAAATATTATTTTTATCAATTCTACAAACATTCATACATATCTGATAACACACTTGGAAGAAATTGCACAAATTTGTTCAGCAAATGGTCAATACAAAACAAAATCACCTTAAATCACATATTGTGTTAAAGTGGTGTCTTTGACCGATCATAGAACAAAATCCACCACACGGACATATTTGGTTTTTTATTGTATATTTTTGGTCATGTGATTATGACCCTACTATTTATTGTATGTAAAACAAAGAATTACATAAACAAGGTTCATTTGGAGGCAAATTGTGCTCCTTATGATGACATTTAGCGCCAATACGGAGCTGGAAGGCTTTTTGATCTTCATCAAAAAGTTTTGGGTCGAGGGTAAAAAGCTAGGGTCAGTCGGGAACCCTAAACAGACACCCTTTCTTTGGCTTAACCAAATTATTTCTGAACAATAACCCATACCTTGTGGTAGTTTCTTAAGATTTTTTGGGATATCATGAAATTTCAAATTTTTTTTTCTTCTTCAATGTAACAAAATGAAACAAAATACATTTTTATTTGATGCAACAAGGGTTTATTAGAAATATAACACTTAAAAAATAAAAACAATGTCAATACCGATGAACAAAACACAAAAAAAACCTGAGTAATTTTCTAACAATAATACTAAAACAAACAAAAATGCCCGTTACATGAATCAATAACATTCCCGAGTGCCAATGCAATACGTTAAGGACAACGAAAAGAAAATATAGGTGAAAAAAAACAACCCAGCGAACTTACTTATTATACAAAAAAATATAAAGATACAAAAAAGAGGGACAACTCTTACATTTGTACCAATAATAATTCTAAATCCCCAAAAGTCATATATACGAATATAATACAGTATAATACCAACCCAAAAAAATTCTTTAAATGAAATAACTAATATAAAACAAAATTGCACGTTGTTTATGGATATTAAAATTATAACAAATAATGTACAGAGCAAAAATGTCACAATGAACAACAAACTTTCACATACTTTACACAACAAGAATAAATTTCTACATAATGTACATAAAACATACTATGTTGTTAAATAAAAAAAAAACACTTTATAAAACATTAATAAACATTTACATTCGGATCAAAACAACATGTATTGTGGTTTTACAAATATCACACTACACAACAATAATACACTTTTACATTACGTACAAATAACAACATGCAATATTGTGGTATAAAAATATTTCATTGTAAAAATAACACTGTTGTATGTAATATAAAAAATGAACTTGAAATATAGTCATATTGGGCATATACATGTAATAAGAAATATAGAATATCATCCTGATTAGTGTGATGTATAAAATGCTTCCAAGGCCAAAATGTCTTTCCTGTTGGGTATTGCACAACCATAGCATAGTCGTGGTCTAGCAGTTGATATTGGACATCGTTTGTGTTATTATTGTCAGTTAATGCGTGAAGTTTACATTTAAAACGGCCGATTTTACGTTGGGCTTGCATGTTGGCCATCAGTGCCACAACGTTGTTTACATCGTTACGACAGCTTTTGTTGTCTACACTTTCGCGATTGGAGATTTTCAATGCAAGGGACACAACTCTTGTGTGTTTTTCACTTAAGTGCAAAATATTTATTTCCATTAAAAGTTGTTTTCAATACATTCCTGTAAATTAAATGATGTCTATAAACTACATAAACCTTTCTGATAGTCTGCATGCTGTCTATATATGGAAATGTATCTGATTGTTGATTTGTAAGAACCTGAAAACAAATTCATGCATTCCGATTTGATTGGCTCATGGTTGATTTCTTTCTTAATCTTACTATAGCAAAATAACATCATTGTTTGTTATTTTCTAGAAAATCGTGGCCGAAGAAACAGTACCAAATGGAAACTCCTGGTTTTTCTAATGTCCAAGGCCAACGATGATTTCATACCGACAACCTCTGAGAAAAACAGGCTTCAGCGTTGTGGATTTGGTAAGCATTTCTGGGTGGCAAAACAGTTTGAGATGCTTATAATTTCCTCCTGTAGGTCAATGAGTCAGATTACTGATAATAATTCCAGCGTTATTGTAAAAGCTTGTCAACTTTTCTTGATGGAACCATATAAGTATCACTGTAAGTCAAACTGTCCCCCAAAGCCCAAAACACCTATCACTAATAGCAGGCTGGTAGTACATATTGAAAGGCCATGCATGATGAATTGCTCCTGTTAGTTGTTAAAAATGAAAGATTGTCAATTGCATACAGTGCTTTTCATACCAATATGACTTTTTGGATAAAATCATAAACAAATACTTTCAGGATACCCCAGGATACAGCTTAGTCCCCATGATAGGTATCCTGTCAAGTCAGTTATAGAATTCCAAACATTGGAGGATTTTGAGGATACTCTTGTAGATTATTATCCTAATGTCAACCTAAGATTGTCTGGGTTCTACTACGCTAAGGCAGACAAAGGGCGCCACTTGAAAGTGTTGAACCCCAACACACCAGTTGATCTCAGGAAGCAGATAGGCCAGGGGAAGTTGTTCCTGATCCCCAAGAGGGATTTAAGAGTTGTAAGCTCATTTTAGTTAATTTATTTACTTTCATCTAAAAGTGGGTTGTCACTTATAAATACAGATATCATATAAATTCCCGATTTTTTATTTTGATTGTTAAAACTATATTGACTGGAAAAGTTAAATTCTTCTTCTTAAATTATTTTTTTACCAGGTGAATTGTGTGACACATTTATCAAAATCTACCTAGCAGAATTGATCACAATTTCATTTTTTTTTTATCTTTAACTTAAATTCTCTTTACAAAATTAAAAAATTAACAGAGAAAACATCTTAACAGCAGTATACAACATCAAATATCATATATACTTATGACAAATATATTAATAACAAATATCTTGATAAATATATGCATATTTCTTGAAATTTTAACATTGTATAGATAAGTTCTGAGAAATAAACAATATTTGGCATCGCATAAGAGTAGTTATATAAAAAAAATCTGTTGGGGGGGAAAAAAGGGACATTTTAACGAGTAATAAGATTCCTCACCAATGTCTTGGGTATTGCAATATGTTTTGGTTCTCAACATGATTTCATCTTCCAGTTGCCACTATAAGTTTACTAGTTTTAAATTTACACAATGTATTGTGCTCATTTTCCGGTTCATATTATTAATCTGAAGGTATTGCTTTTTTCAACCTTGTTCATCAATATTTATGAATATTGGAAGACATGTTGGCACTTAATGAATGGGCCTGTTCTAGTTTATTTTTTGTTCAAATTGTTTAAAGGTTACCTGAGTAAAATAAATTAAAATTTTCAGTACATTTGACCTTATGATTCTGTTTCACAGATGCAATATGGTTAGCCAGCACCTTTGCAGTTTCGATATCTTTTAGGTTGTAATATCATAGCAAGGTCAATGAGAAAAAATAAAGATATACATTATAAATTATGTAAGGGTCATGAAGTCATATTCATTGTATGTTTAAAAGCTGTGCATTGTAGGAATTTGGCGATTCCTTAGTCCTCTTTAATCACAAAATAAAAGTGACAAACAAGATTTGATGTAGTATGTATACCTTTGTCCTCAATGACTGATTCACCATATACAAAGACTTGGTTATATCTACAGCCATCAAATGCAGACAGTGTTATCCAAAGAGAAGAACAACCAGCTGCAAGACCAGTAGCAACTCCAGAGGTACAGTTCAACAAAATAACCTTCAAGTGTGAATTATTAGCTCCCCTTGCCTAATAGGTTAAGGACAAGGATGGTTTATGCCACACTAGGGTATATGTCCTCTATCAATAATTTCTTGAAAGTGCTCCTCAAACCTAATCATTTAATTGAATTCTGTAGTTCATGAATAGTATAACACCACTTGGGTCAGACAAATAAGTCCTAAAAGTGGAAGTGTGAATTTAAAAATCACAACTCCTTAATATGGTGAATGTTGTTTCTTTTTAATAAATTTGGCATGGAATATTGGTTTCTACAACAAATGACCTTGACCTATTTAGAGAACCACGTGAGTAGCATATACAATAATTTAATTGAAAACTAAATAAAATTCAAATTTGGCCTAACCGCTTAGTGAAGGCAAAGAGTGTGGTAAGGCACACTTTAAAAAAATTAACAATAGATTGATTAAAGATGCCTAAAATCATTTAGATTTAAAAAAAAAAGGATTTGTTTTAAATAAACATTTAACATTGGGATTGGCATGGTATACAATTTCTGTGATCACCAGGAAGCTATTATTTAACTGCAACATTTCGATTCCATTGAAACAGCAAGTCAAAAATTATTTTTATTAAGTTAATGTTGGAAAATAAAAGTAAATGAAAGAAGTGCAAATATAACCTAAATGAAAGCAGGTCAATAATTAACCTACATTCTTTGCAACTAAACTGGTCCAAATTTCATATTTAGCCACCCATTGGGTTACTGCATCCACCATCACGGGAACTGGAAGAGGATCATTCCATTGTAAGGATAAAATGTACCACTGATATGAAAACGCAAGTTTGTTGATGTAACAACATCAAGGCTATCAGATTGATTTCCTTTCACATTTTCATGTGGTGTCTGTTACTACATGACTGTTAACATCTTGTTGTGTCTGTTACTACACGACTGTTAACATCATGTTGTGTCTGTTGCTACACGACTGTTAACATCATGTGGTGTCTGTTTCTACACGACTGTTAACATCATGTTGTGTCTGTTCCTACACGACTGTTTACATCATGTGGTGTATGTTACTACACGACTGTTACCATTATGTTTTGTCTGTTACTACACGACTGTTAACATCATTTTGTGTCTGTTACTACACGACTGTTTACATCATGGGGTGTATGTTACTACACGACTGTTACCATTATGTTTTGTCTGTTACTACACGACTGTTAACATCATGTGGTGTCTGTTACTACACGACTGTTAACATCATGTTGTGTCTGTTTCTACACGACTGTTCCCATCTTGTTGTATCTGTTACTACACGACTGTTAACATCATGTTGTGTCTGTTACTACACGACTGTTTACATCATGTGGTGTATGTTACTACACGACTGTTACCATTATGTTCTGTCTGTTACTACACGACTGTTAACATCATGTGGTGTCTTACTACACGACTGTTAACATCATGTGGTGGCTGTTACTACACGACTGTTAACATCATGTGGTGGCTGTTACAACACGACTGTTCCAATATTGTGTCTGTTACTACACGACTGTTACCATTATGTTCTGTCTGTTACTACATGACTGTTAACATCATGTGGTGTCTGTTACTACACGACTGTTAACATAATGTGGTGGCTGTTACTACACGACTGTTAACATCATGTGGTGGCTGTTACTACACGACTGTTCCAATCTTGTGTCTGTTACTACACGACTGTTAACATCATGTTGTGTCTGTTGCTACACGACTGTTAACATCATGTTGTGTCTGTTCCTACACGACTGTTCCCATCTTGTTGTGTCTGTTCCTACACGACTGTTAACATCATGTGGTGTCTGTGACTACACGACTGTTAACATCATGTGGTGTATGTTACTACACGACTGTTAACATCTTGTTGTGTCTGTTACTACACGACTGTTAACATGATGTGGTGTCTGTTACTACACGACTGTTCACATCATGTGGTGTCTGTTACTACACGACTGGTCCCATCTTGTTGTGTCTGTTACTACACGACTGTTAATATCATGTGGTGTCTGTTACTTCACGACTGTTAACATCATGTTGTGTCTGTTTCTACACGACTGTTCCCATCTTGTTGTATCTGTTACTACACGACTGTTAACATCATGCTGTGTCTGTTACTACACGACTGTTAACATCATTTGGTGTCTGTTACTTCACGACTGTTAACATAATGTGGTGTCTGTTACTACACGACTGTTACCATTATGTTCTGTCTGTTACTACACGACTGTTAACATCATGGGGTGTCTGTTACTACACGACTGTTCCAATCTTGTTGTGTCTGTTACTACACGACTGTTGACATCATGTGGTGTCTGTTACTGCACGACTGTTAACATCATGTGGTGTCTGTTACCACACGACTGTTAACATCATGTGGTGTCTGTGACTACACGACTGTTAACATCATGTGGTGTGTGGTGTCTGTTACTACACGACTGTTACCATCATGTGGTGTCTCATGTTGTGTCTGTTTCTACACGACTGTTCCCATCTTGTTGTATCTGTTACTACACGACTGTTAACATCATGGGGTGTCTGTTACTACACGACTGTTCCAATCTTGTGTTTGTTACTACACGACTGTTAACATCATGTGTTGTCTGTTACTACACGACTGTTAACATCATTTGGTGTCTGTTACTTCACGACTGTTAACATAATGTGGTGTCTGTTACTACACGACTGTTAACATAATGGGGTGGCTGTTACTACACGACTGTTAACATCATGTCGTGGCTGTTACTACACGACTGTTAACATCATGTATTGTCTGTTACTACACGACTGTTAACATCAGGTGGTGTCTGTTACTACTCGACTGTTCCCATGATGTGGCGTCTGTTACTATATGACTGTTCCTTTCATGTTGTGTCTGTTTCTTTAGTGGATTTTCCCACTCCTATTACAGTGTCTCTTTCCTGCTGTTGATGGTATTTTCACAAGAAAATTTAAAACTGCATAATTATATTGTAACGTCTGTTACTACACGACTGTTAACATCATTTGGTGTCTGTTACTTCACGACTGTTAACTGTTAACATCATGTGGTGGCTGTTACTTCACGACTGTTCCAATCTTGTGTCTGTTACTACCCGACTGTTAACATCATGTGGTCGCTGTTACTACACGACTGTTAACATCATGTTGTGGCTGTTACTACACGACTGTTAACATCATTTGGTGTCTGTTACTTCACGACTGTTAACTGTTAACATCATGTGGTGGCTGTTACTTCACGACTGTTCCAATCTTGTGTCTGTTACTACACGACTGTTAACATCATGTGGTGTCTGTTACTACTCGACTGTTCCCATGATGTGGTGTCTGTTACTATATGACTGTTCCTTTCATGTTGTGTCTGTTACTTTAGTGGATTTTCCCACTCCTATTACAGTGTCTCTTTCCTGCCGTTGATGGTATTTTCACAAGAAAATTTAAAACTGCATAATTATATTGTAACAGATTTTATTTACATTTGGTGAAATATTAAACACATTATGTACAAATAACAGCCGCAGAAGTCCTCTCACAAGCACAAATTTCATAACAACAACCTCGTAAATGTATTACTTCCTTTCTTGCAAGCAATCATCTTCAACAAACTTCACAGTTGAAAAGACTGATGAGATACCAATCAATGTACATATATTCCAAAATATGTAGATATGACATGCATTTTTGATCCCGTAATTAATTCACACACTAATATTAATGGAGAAATTTCTTTCAAACTGACATGCTTAGTAATTATATGAACTAAAACCAGAAGAAATAGTCTATGTCTGATCAGATCATTTAAAGACATTTAAGTTTCAAAACATTATAATTCATGCAAAAAAAAAGAAGACATTGATAATATTCATTACAATACATGGCATATTCTACAGATTCTAGAATCATTCACATGGGAGGGTTAGGTAGACACTTGGTCAGAGACCCCATCATATATTGTAAGTTATCATTAGTTTAAGGTGATAAGGGATTGTAGCCAGATCTGGAATTAATGTATTTACAGTGATAAAAATGTTTAAATATTAGAAAAAACATTGTTTTTTCCATTTGGTATGGTATATTTAATAATTATTGTGTGGAAACGGTCGACCATTCCGATTGCCATATGTTAGCCTTTGTAATTACACATATTAATATTGACCAAGTTTAACCTTTACCACATATATTTGACAAAGTTAATGTGCAAAAGCCATCAACCAATCAGAGCAAAGTATGCTAATTAATTATGTACAAAATTTAACTTTTCTCAGCTTTTGTATAATGTATATGCATACCAAGTTTCGACAAAATCAATCAAACAATATCTAATCAAGTTACGTTATGGAAACTGAAATTTGGAATTGGACCAATCAGAGCACAGAAAGCTAATTGATTATGCACAGATTTTGCTCATAATTCAAACTTGGACCCAGCCTTTGTATAATGTACATGCATACCAAGTTTCATCAAAATTGAACAATATTAAATATCTTCCAGCCACTAAAGTATGAATCAATGCGCCCCATACCTGGAATCATCATAATTGTCATTAATTATCATTTTCATATATATATATATTTATATAAAAACAAAACAAAACATCACGTCATCAAAATCATCTGTAACATCGGCAAATTCATTATGATTTTAAAATATCAGCCGTCAAGATCAAGATCGGCCAGACGACTCTTTTACATCAAAAAAACATCATTTTCACCAAGATCATCAACAGCAACAAAAGTCATCATCTCAATTAAAAGATCTTGAAAATGAAGCCATTGCTGAATTGAAATAATTTGCAAACTGAATAAGAAATCAACAAAAGAAAAACACAAAGGTCGTTTAGAATGGTGTAATGGATTTTTCAGCCCTGAATTAAAGTGGAAAACTTGAGTAATTGTCATATCAACATCGATTAAATCATTATCAAACTGTATACAGTTCACTGATTTTGGCTGAGTTTTGCCTCGAGGTCTTGCAGGGAGTCTGGCTTCTGCATTTCTCTCACAGATGTGTGACCATCAGTGTCGCCAAGCATCCCAAGCATCCACAACTGCTCTGGAGTTCTTCTGGACTCTGTCCTGATTCGGTGTTTATTCCATGCTTCTCTAAAGTTCTGAAGCTGTCTGTTTACCTCAGGCACAAAGACAAGCTGAAGTGCACAGAGATGGCAATCATTTGAGGGATCAAGGATACCTCTGTCCTCCATGTCATGGAACAGTTTACAAAATGTCTCTCCAACTTCTGTCTGGACATCCCTCCACAACCTCTCTATCCTCTGACTGTGGACTGACCTGCCCGTGATGTGGTTGTTCCTGGAGCTGCTTCTGACCAAATTCATAAACAGAGCCACCTGTACATTCTCTCCTCCGTGATCAGACCGGACCCGTGATGGTAAGCCATACTGGATGACAGCAGTTACAAAGAGGTCCAACACTGTTGATGACCTGTTGTTGGTGCTGCATCTTCAAAATGTCACCAATCTTGAATAACCATCAATGCATCCATGAGTAACCATGCCCCATCTGGAAAAAAATGGACACTAAAATCAAACATTTGCGCATAATTTAACATAAAGAAATAACTATTTTGTCAGTCTCCTAATTTTGCTTAATGGAAATCACAAAAGAAGAGTTCTACAGATTTGTATGGGAAAAAGGTAATATTTGAGCCATATTCTACATATACAACCATACACACCATGTGTTTGATCAGAATTGAATAATAAGGAAGCAAGTAATAAGGAAACCAAAATATATACAAATAGACAGATGTATGGATACTCCAAATATCATATCTAATATATCATGATAATTTAAATTAGACTTTAACTTTACATTAAAAATGCATATGTTGAAAGATAGAAGAACGTTTATTGCGGATTTTGACTTTTTGCTAGTACCGGTACTTAGAAATAACAACAACCTTTTAAATCATTCAGTGGGACAATTTAAAATACTTGGGAAAGCCATTTTTCTGCAAATGTAAGTGTTTAGAAACATTATCCAGGGGGAGACCAAGCTTGCAGTGAAAGTTTTTTTCAGTCTGAAATGTGTATATGCATTATAAAGATTGTAATATTCATGAGTAGAACATATGACTGTATATGGCTTATATTGCAAGCTTTTTAGCTATTAAAGTAATCATATAAAGATGGCTTCCAGTTATACTTGTCATATAATTTAAGTGTAAAGGAAAATCCGATTAAAAAAAATGTATTTACCTTATAAGACGCATATGACCATCCATGTGCCACAGGCTGTTTGGCATAGGTACCCGATAGGTCCGCCTTGAAATTGCAGAGCTCCATCGCTGTGCTGCTGCAGGGGGATCCACTCGAGTGAGAGACTCTCGTACTCGCTGCCTCTGTACTTGAAAGCCTTTGGCCTTTAGGTATCCACTAACCATCTGAAAAGATAAAAAAATGTATTTTTTAGAGGAGATACACTTCGCAAATACCACTATCAAGTAAAAGTTACTTAACATGGGTTCTTTTACTCAGAGTTTTTAACAACTGTTGGACCATGTCTAATTAATTACACAGGCAGATTTGCAGGTTTTAATCAATGGTCATGCCTACAAGTATTTGACTTCTAAACTTAAAGACAATTTACCTGTGTAAATAATATATATTTAAAAGGAGATAGAACAATTTGAGGAAGGCTTTGGGTTCTGTCCCCTGGCCGAGACATACCAAAGTCTTTAAAAATGGTAGTTTCTACTCCTGCTTAACGTTCAGCAAATTAGGAGTGGGACAACTGGTTCACCCGTTGTCAGTATAATGTGACCGGGTGGGGCGTCCTGCTGGGTGTCTTCGGCAGTATGTTTCAGTGAGGTAGCACTATAAAGTCGGCATCAGTTCCGCGCTATCACAAGGAGACAAACACGAACATATCGCAGCCTCCCAAAATACACACACATACACTACACGCATGCATCTTGCACACAGGGGAGGCCGTCCTTAAATGACCTTAGCTGTTAATAGGACGTTAAACAAAATCAAACAAACAAACAAATAGAACAATTCTACTCACCTCGTTCCTAGCCTTGGGATGATCACGGTGGATTTCACCAACATGTTCATCAAGTGATGGGTCATCAAGTCTGGCATACTTTTCCCCTCGAACACTCAAGCCTGCTGCCTTCATTTTCTTGTAGACAGTGTCTGCTGAACATCCAAGCTGTTTTCCAATATCCTTAGCTGTAAATCCATTTTGCAGCCCAGCCTTTATGTCCTCAACACTGATACCCAATGTAGGTCGACCTCGACCACGCAAGCTGACATGTTCAAGTGAACCTTAAAATAAGTAAAAGTAAACATATTACTATTGAAAAGGTATATATGAAGATTCAGTTATTATTTTTATCTCTCCATACAAGTATTCAAACAATTATGAAGAAAGAGTTGTATACAGACTTATTATAAAAACAATAATTCAGTTTCCTAGTCAAGGAAAAAAATATTTGTATTCCTGTATGACTGTATAGCAATGGTTACTGTAATTTCGTCCCCAAAAATGTTAATTGATGCACATATATTTGCAGGCACAGCAATAAGAAAACATGTTTTCCCACCCTACACAGGCTAGTCTCCTGTTTAAGCTGGGAAAGATCAGCTTGTCATCCCCTAGGGGGAGATAGCTATAGACTTGTGCTGATTAGCTTGTGTTCAATTGTGACGTAATTAAAATGTGTCACTGATAATTGTGACATCATCAAAAGTGGATGACGATATTTTTAGAAACACTATTAATGGAAATAAGAGGTAAGTCAATTTCATATTTTTCCTATAAAAAGAAACAGTGTTGGGCAAGGAAAAAGACCTTTATAGATCAAATACAGGAACTGGAAAATAGAATAATGTAGACTTAGACAAGTTAGTTGAGAAAAAAAAGGAATTGGCAAAGATTAGAGTACATAGGATAAAAGGGAGTATAATACGTGCAAAAGCCTTATGGATTGATGAGGGTGAAATACCTACCAATTATTTTTTTAATTTAGAAAATAGACATTTTACATCAAAAATCATTCCAAAGTAACAACAGGAAAATGGGGAATTTCTAACTAAACAAGTAGATATATTAAATGAGGTGATTTTTTTATGAACAATTGTATTCTATTGATAATGAAGTCGATGACATAGATTTGGACGAATTTTTAGAAGATTTTGATGTGCCAAATTTAAATGTTGAAGAAGCGGTCAGTTTGGAAGGTATTATTACACTTAAAGAAGCATCTATAACACTAAAGAATATGAAAAGTAATAAGAGCCCAGGCTCAGATGGATTCACATCAGAATTTTATAACTGTTTTTGGAATCAGTTAGGCAATTTTGTGGTTAGGGCATTAAAATATGGTTTTTCAAATGGTCAGCTGTCTATTACACAACGTCAGGGAATAATTATTTGTATAACTAAGGCTAATAAATCAAAGTATTTTATAAAGAATTGGAGACCTATTTCTCTATTAAACATTGTATACAAAATTGCTTCTGGATCAATAACAAGTAGATTCAAACTAGTTTTACAAAAATTATTAACTCTGATCAATCTGTATTTATATATCGGGACGCTATGTAGGAGAAAATACTCGCCTGGTTTATGACATTATGCAATATACAGAGGAAAATGATATCTCTGGAATGTTATTAATGGTTGATTTTGAAAAGGCATTCGATTCTGTCTCTTGGAAATTCATAGACGAAGTACTTGGATTTGGAAACGATATCAGAAATTGGGTCAAAATTTTACACTGTAATTCAAGCTCTGCTATAAACCAGGGGGGTAATTTATCAGCATTTTTCAAAATAAATCGTGGTTGTCGTCAAGGATATCCCATCGCTCCATATATTTTTATACTATGTGCAAAAGTATTAGCAATCCGCCTTAGAAACAATAAGAGTGTAACTGGTATAAAGGTTAATAACTGTCCCATCTTAAAGTCTCAGTATGCAGACACTTCTCTGGTATTACATGGTTCTGAAAAATCACTGAAAGGGGCGGTTGATGAACTAAATATTTATGCAAAAATATCTGGTCTTAAAGTAAATGTAGGTAAAACTGAAGTTGTCTGGATAGGCAGTAAAAAATACAGCAATGATGTTCTCCTTCCAAATATGAATCTTAGATGGGGAGTTAATAAATTTACTCTTCTTGGGATAGATTTCCATGTAGATCTTTGCAAAATACCTAAAATGAACTTTGATAAAAAATTAGTTAAACTTAAAGCTCTTATTAAGAGCTGGAGTAGAAGGTTGCTCACACCTATTGGTAGAATTAATGTCATTAAATCTTTATTAATTTCTCAGATGAATCATCTGTTCATTTCCTTACCTAATCCATCTGAAAAATTTATAAAACAGCTCAATTCTGTTCTTTTCAATTTTTTATGGAATAGCAAAACTGATAAGATTAAACGGGACATAATAATCCAAAATTATCAAGAAGGTGGGCTAAAAATGGTTAATTTAATGTCTTTTATTGAAGCTCTGAAAATAAGTTGGATAAGAAGGTTTTTTAGATCAGAAGGTAAATGGGTAAGCATTTTAAAATCTTGTGTAAATCCTCATATCTTGGCTAACTCAGGAAACGAGTACCTTAATAAAGTTCAAGGAAATTGCAAAAATGTGTTTTGGAAAGATGTGTTTAGGGCATGGTATAAATTAAGAGCAAAAGAGGAGCTGTTTAAAAATGAGAATTTTGCCCTACTTAAGACACCCTTATGGTATAACAAAAATATTTCTGTTGGTAATAAAGTTGTTTTTTATAGTAAGTGGTTTAAAAACGGGATTATGATAATTAATGATTTGTTGAAAAACAACACAGACTACTCTTTCTTGTCTTTTAAGGAATTTTGTGATCTACATGGTACAATAACTAATTATCTAGAATATCATGGCTTGATAACAAGCATAAAGAATTATCTGAAACAACTTAATTTGCCAAACAAAAATGTGATATACCCAATTATACCGTTACATCTTGTAATAATTTTAAAGAAGAAAAAAGGTTCTCAAGACTTCTATAATATACTTATCAGAAATAATGCATCAATAACTGCTCAAACAAAATGGGGAACTATATTCGACTATAATCAGGAAACTTGGGGGAAAATATATGCTATTCCTTTCAGGGTTACAAAAAATACAAAATTGCAATGGTTGCAATTTAGAATTAATCATTATATTTTAACAACCAATTCTTATTTATGCAAAATTGGACTTGTAAATAACCCACACTGTGTTTTTTGTATCATAGAAAGGGAGACAATTACCCACGTTTTATGGGAATGCAGGGAAGTACAAAAATTTCTGAGCAATTTTGAAAGTCTTTTAAGTGCTCTCACTATTCCTTTCTCACTAAATAAAGAATCAATGATCTTTGGTTTTATCAACCAAACTGGAATTTATACCAGAATTGATAATGAAATTACTCTGTTCATTAAACAATATATATACAAAACCAGATGTTTTCATAAGTCACTTAATGTGACGGCTTTAGTCAATTCGATTAAAGATTACTATAAGGTTCAGAAATATATTGCTCGTGGTAAAGGGGAACAAGGCCTTAGAAGATTTACTTCTGAA